GATTTTGTCATATGTTTCTTATCCATATTTAGTCCTGATTTAATTTTCTACATTAGAAAAGTTTCTGATAGTGTAAACTTCCCTCTCCTCACATAAATTCGTTTCTTTAAATTAAATTTTAATTAATTTATTGCAAATAATTAATTTTCAAAAATTCTACATTCCTCATCGGATAAACTACAGCGGAAATATTTACAAAAATATTTTTTCTTTCAATTAAACCGCACAGACGCGGCTAAAATAAATCCCTGATCTTTGCTCTAAGACTTATCAAGCTCTTCAAATCAGCCAAGCTATTGGTGGTTTGTCAAGCAATACCATGGGAGTTGGAAAGACACAGACCACCATGAACAGCAAAGATCAACAGACACCATACTACCACACACACACGCACACAACACACCACAGTCATCATTGAACAATTAATTAAAAATGAAGAAAACGAAAACATTTTTTTTTTGTTTCTTTTAGAAATTTATCTTTCCAAAACATCTTTGATAGGTTAATTGTTAGTTGATGGTAAGCCATAACCTACACACATACATATGTATGGACGTATGTACAATCATGGGAATGTGCGACTTATTCGATTTGATTTGTGGTTTATAATTTTGAAAAAAAAAAAAAAAAAAAAAAACAAAAATAGCTGTGGTCATTGCAGAAAAATAAATCAATTTTCCTGTTGTGATATTTAAAGTGGAATTGTTTATATGATGTTATCTGGATTAATAAGTCGGATTCGAAGTGTAGGCTTCAGCGATGCGTCACTCCCGGGCTTCGACAAAACTCCAACGCACAGACACCCAAGGAGGCTTCGAGAAGGCAATTCTTGGTGTAACATGTTAATGTGTATTCATGGGAAACACTATATCAATTTGAAGCTAATATTACAGAACGGATGGGTTACTGCTTTTAAACCAGTAAGCAAAGGTTAAAAGTCGGACGGGGCTGACTAGCGTATTTAGTTGAGCTCCCGTAACAAAAAGTGTATACTGGTAATTGAGGTAGGTCCTACCAACTATTAACCAAATAACATCGCTATATACTGCATAATCGATAAGGAATATATTGAAAAATATTTATTGGAGCAATAGATATACCGGACCGAGTTTCACCAAATGGTAAAATCCGGTTGGATTTGGAAAAACATATTCAATTTTGGCTAATATTACATATAGTGAGCAATAACCGCAAAATCGGGTGAAGATATATATCTCACCTATAAAAAATCTGAACCGATTTCGATAAAATTTGACAGAGGTATTTTCGAGCAGTATCTGAACTCCGGAATCAAATATCATTTTTAAGGTGTGCATATTACTCATGTGACTACTATACTATACCTGAACCGATTTTCACCAAATTTCAAGCATTTAGTTCTAAGATGAATTCACTCAATTCAGTCCATTTGGGCTGAATATATATGGAAGCTATATCCGATCCGATCTCGATGAAATTTGACAGTGGTATCTTCGAGATGCATAAGTTATCTAGTACCAAATATCTTTTATGTGGAGTGCATATTACACGTGTAAGGGACTTTAAATCACAAATTGGATAAAACATATATATGAGAGCTATAGCCATATCTGAACCGATTTACACAAACTTGAAATGCTGGTTTCTACGATGAATTAAGTCTGAATTGCCAGAATGCAGTCCAATTGGCCGGATATTAGACATTTGGTGCACAATAAACATGATAAAGATATGTATGGGAGCTATAACCTAATTCGATCCAATCTCGATTAAATTTGACAGAGGTATTTTCAAGATGCATAAGTTGTGTACTACAAAATACCATTCTTGTGGAGTGCATTTTACGCATGTGAGCGACTTTAAACCCCAAATCGGATGAAACATATATATGGGAGCTATAGGTGTTTCTGAACTGATTTACAGCAAATTTGTTTTTAGCATGAAATAAGGCGGAATTTCCAAAATGCAGTCCATTTGGGCTGATAATTTTGGCCATTTGGTACACAATAAACATGATAACGGATAAAGATAAATATTTTTACTTTTAAATTTTTATACCCTACAACACTATGTGTTGGGGGTATTATAAGTTTGATTGGGCCAAAAGTTATGTAACACCTCGAAATATTGGTTTCCCACATAGGAAAGTATATATGTATCTTCCTATCTCGCCGAGATGAGCAGTTCTAGCTAAGTATGTCCGTCCGTCTGTCCATGTTAATTTGTAATCAAGCTACAGGTCGCAATTATGAACCGATCCTCACGAAATTGAAAACGGAGGTGGGGTTATGGTCAGAATAGAACCCTATTGTTTTTGGAGATGATGATTGCAAAATATTTAGGGGTTGAAATGGACCAAAAACAGAAAATTTTCCTGATTTTGCAAAATTTACATGGAGTTAGAGTTTAGGAGTGGGCAGAAACCTACCAATTTGGGTGGCCATCGGACAATAATTAGCGGGTAAAATAGACCCTAACTTTTATGTAAGAAAATAGGAAAATTTCCACTAAACCGCGAATATTTTCAACCCCAGCCACAACACAAATGCATTAGAAGATCACTTCTGACCATTACAGTGATGCTAATAGCCAAGAAATCGGATATATAGCAAAATAGGTACAATAGATATGTAAAAGAATTGATCTTATTTATTCTGCTTATAAATCAAGAACCGCTGGGCCGATTTTCACAATTCCCATCAATTTGGAATGGTCTTTTGTCAGTAAAAAAAGTGAATATTTTTTATTCCATTTTTTTCAATTCATGTCATATTTTATAACGCATGCGATTTTTTCAATTTAACTTACAATTTTGAATTGTAAATTTTCTAAATGTTTACACCCTTCAACACTACCCTATCGTCCGATCCTCACGAAATTTGGCATGGGGTAGGGTTAGGGTCAGAATAAAAGCCTATTGTTCTTAAGATGTACAATTAGAGGTGCAAATGGACTAAAAAAATAATTTTTCCTAATTTTGTAGTCGCTCTATAAGCCACAACTGAAACTAATTGACACGGAATTTCGCATCGGAAGAGAGTTAAGGACAGGGAAGAAGTCTAGCATTTTGGATAACAATTGGATTACATTTAGCTGTAAAATGGACAACAACTTTTGCCAAATTCTCCGGGCCAAAAAAATTAAGGGTAACCTCTGGGCGGGGCTCTTTGACATTATTTCAAAAACGAAATCTTCCAAAATGGATTTGGATATAAGGGGACTTCGAACATATTGTATTGTTGTAGGGTATCTCATGGTCGGCCCCGCACGTCTATAGCCTTTGCTTACTTGTTTTTTTTTTAATTTTATTGAATTAAAGCAAAAAATGTCGGAAATAGCATCAAATTCTAGAATAAATTTAGATTTGTTCGAATTGGTCACATTTGGCACGAATTATGGCCTTCAAACGGCCAATGAAACAGTCACACGCTGTCTGAATATTGCTCTGCGGTATTTTAGTCCATTCCCGGAGAAGCGCTTGCTTGAGGTGATCGACAGTTTATTTGTATTTTTTGTAAGGGTAGAGCTCTATGACATCGTATGAAAAACGAAATCTTCCAAAATGGATTTGCGCATAAGGGGCCTTTCAACATATTGTAGTGTTGTATGGTATCACATTGTCGACTCCGGACGATCATATCCTTTGCATACTTGTTTTTGCAATATTTAGTTGTACCAACTTAAGTTGTGAAAATTAGCAATAGCGGTGCTCTCCTTTTGGTAACTTCCCTCAAAGTCACGTCTTTTTGAAAGTTCATAAATTACGTATATTTTTGTCAAATTTGGATCCAGTCTCTAAGGTATGTACACTAGTATTATGAGCTCTCAAAATATTAAAAAATACAAATAATCTGACAACTATTTTGTGATGCGCCTTCATCAAACCGCAAAGCGAAGGGGTGTTGGTCTACATTTTCCATACCGGCCTTAGGATGTGAAAATACAGCAGTCGGAGAAACTGGCCTCCCCTTCTCCTGCATATTTCGGTGATATACAGGGTTGCCCATATTCGACGGACCCATCTGGCTACGCCATAATTTTTGACAGAGATGTCACATCGCTTAATGACATACCGCGTTTGAAGCGTCAGTCCAAGCAGATTTTTACCATGAACCAATACACGCCACGCGAGCGCTCTAAAATAGTCAATTGTGTCAATTGAAGTCAATTGTGAAAACTCAACGTGCTTTTAAAATATTAAAAACTGTGAGAAGTGCGCCCTCTAAGAACACCATTAAGCGATTATACGAAAAATTTTCGACTGGTAAAGCTCTTTCTAATCCGAAGAGGCCATATAAAAGTCGACCAAGGCGATCGGCCGAGAATATCGCTGCCGTACGAGCCAGTGTTGAGAGGTCCCCAAAAACATCCCAAAAACGCCGTTCTCAGCAGTTGGGCATGGCTCGGTCCACTTTACAAAGGATTATTAGCATTGATTTGCATTTGTTTCCGTACAAAATTCAATTGACGCAAAGAATGTTGCCTGCGGACAAGCCTCGTCGATTGGAATGGGCCCAAAAAAAACATGGGTCCGTCGAATATGGTCAACCCTGTATATACATATCGGTCATTTGAATATATGACGTCAAATAAAATGAAGCCTTCTGACTTATATTTCCGAAGTTTCTGACAAGGTTTTTCGCCGTTTTTTATGGCTCTGAGTTGAAAGAATGTTAAGCTAATGGAGCGATAAGACTCATAATTTTGGCAGGCGTTGAAAGCTGATATGTAGTACAACTTATTCTGCAGAAAAGCCGAACATAACTTGCTTTGTTCTGCCGATTTAAATGATGAGGAACAATTAATTGTGTCCGTCGACCAATGAATCAATCAATTATAGATTTTTTCCTTCATCACTAGTTTCTTCCTGCATTCGACGATAATTGATGTTTCCATAGATGCTTTATAGTTTCTTAACTCCATATCATTACCAAACCAAAAAATAAATTCCAAAATATTTTTTTTTTTTTTTTTGTTAAAATTTTTTGTAGTTATATATTTGTTTATTGTTATTTAATTGTTTTTGTAATATCTTAAAGACAAAAAATACATAATATTTATAATATGAACATAACAAGAGTATTTACTTAGATAAACTGGGTGTTTAATACATATTTGATAGATATATACAAAAAAAAATATTAAAAAAAATAATAATAAAAACTTAAAACTAAAAATAATATATACAAACAACAATTTCAAGATAATCTTGAAATCGAAGAAAAAAATTAAAAACTATGAAAATAAAGAAAATATTTTACAAAGATATTTGACAATGAAATAAAAAAAAAAAAACTTAAAATACAAAAGCAACAACAAATATTCTAGCAAACGACACACATACATATACAAGAGATGATCTCCGTTGTGGAAAATGGGGAGATGGCGGTCACATCATCTAAAGAAAGCAACAATAAACTACTGAGAAATGCCTACCAAATTTGCTTTTTCAATCAAGAAAAAAATGATAAAGGATATTATCCAGGATTTTTGTTTTGAACAAAAACGAAAAGGAAAACGCAACATTGAAACGGTCAACCGTTTCAAATTATTTTCTGGGATTTTTCACACAAAAATTTTGCACTTTTAACGTGTTTCGAGGGGTTGGGAGGGAAGGCTTCTTAGGCCGTGGCATGATGAGGATGTTGATATGCCGCAGCGGCAGCCCAGGGATTGTGGGGATGATGATGGAAGGCTGAGCTGGCAGCTCCGGCATAGGCCGATGAGGTAGCTGTGAAATCAGCATATGTGGGATATTCCGATTTCATTTGTCCAATGAGTCCGGAATACGTGGAGCTGTGTTGCATGTGGGAGTGGGCATGAGGATGGGCCGCATGATGGTGATGATGTGGATGGTGGTGATGAGGATGATGATTGCTGCTACTGCTGCCATTGGAGGGTGGTGTTGTCGACATGGTAATGCCGTATTCCGCCAGTTGGGTTTCACTTTGCATTGTCAGGGGAGGATACTGTTGTGAATGCTGCTGCTGTTGTTGTTGTTGCTGCTGCTGTTGTTGTGTCATATTGTTGGAGTTGGAGTTCATTAGATTTCCCAGGTTTGAGGTAGCATTTAGTGTTGAGGAGGAATTATTTTGTGACTGTTGTTGTTGTTGATGGTTGTGTTGTTGTTGCTGTTGTTGCTGATTCCACAAATCAAATGTTGGCGGTGTGTTTTGACTTTGCTGTTGTAGTCCCGCAGCCGAGGAGTTGGTGTTATAACTGCTGTTGCTCAAATGCGGCTGGAACAGGGACGAACTTTGATGATACAAATTGCTGTAGGGATTATAGCCGCCAGCAGCCGAGGCGGCTGTGGCCGTTGGAGCCTCAGGTTGTTCTGTCTTCAATTGCAGTTGAGGAATTTGAACTTGTGTGGAGCTGGCACTGAGCCTTTGTTGCAGCGATTGTGGCGATTTGACGGTGGTGGCTGCCGAGGCGGTTGGTGTGGCTGCCGCCGCTACACCATTGCCTGGCATGCTGGGCGATTTGGCCGGACTACATTTTTCACCAGCTTCATTGGATTTATGTTCCTGTTTGATATTGGCATTTTGGGCCGCTGCCTCCTTGGCCTCGGCGGCAATGGCTTTTTTGCTTTTCTTGTCCTTGAAATGGGTCTTCTTGTGTTTGCTCAAATGATCGCTGCGTGAGAATTTCTTGGAGCAAATGGGACAGGCATAGGGCCGATAGTTGGTGTGGGTGCGACCATGTCGTTGCAGTTCGTCGGATCGAGAGAAACGTTTGCCACAGGTCAGACACAGGAAAGGCCGTTCACCGGTGTGCCAACGCAAATGGGTCTTGAGATGTGATGCCTTGCCATAGAGCCTTTCGCAGCCGGGAATGTGGCAAATGTGTTGTTTGCGTCCACGCTCATCGGGTCCAACAATTGGTGGCAAGCCCGACATTTCATTGGTGCAATTGGGGCAGGTGCAGCGCACCGAACGCCTTTGCAATTGGGTCTGGAAGGCAATGTCATCGAAATTGAAGCTGGGATAAGTTTGTCCCGACCATGGCTGGTACAAACGATCCTGATGGGAAAACCAGGCTCCGGCCGCTGCCGAGGCTGCCGACATGCCAACATTGCCATAATAATCTGAGGCATACTGGGCATAGGGGAATTGAGTTCTGCAAAAGAGAAGCGAAAAGAAGAGAAAAATTGCATTAGTAAAGGGATTCCAAAGCAAAAGCGAAAACAAAACGGAAATGAAAGGAAACGGAAATGTTGTCCTCCTTTGCAAAATCATGTTTTTTTATTTAGTTTGTCATCTTGTCATCAAATACATACCTTGTTGGCAATGCCGCAGCTGTATAGGCTGCTGCCGTATTCCAGGAATAGGCAGCCGTGGCTGCTGCAGCCGCACCCAAATCTGTGTGCGAGCCGGATAGAGGTGAGGCCGAGGTAGCCGATGCGGGTGGACTGGAGGAAATTGAGGCAAATGACTGGGCGGGCGATGGGAAAATGCTGGGCGACACTGAGGCCGACGATGCCGAGGCCGATTGTATGCTGGAATTAGGCGATGCCGAGCCCGTCGACGATGGCTGTGACGGATATTGCATTTCCAATTTCATTGGATTGCACACGGATGCGGAAATCGTTGAGTTGGAGGCACTGGCCACCGAGGAGGCTGGTGTCAATGTGGCCTTACTGATGCTGCTGCTGCTGCTGTACAGGGATGCGGAGCTGTTGTTGCCGGCTGCCGCCCCCGGAGATGTTGTGAAATCGGTCAATTGGGCCAGTGATGAAGTGGCGGCCAATGAAGCTGTGGCATAGGGATTTAAATAATTGCAAGCTGCATCAATCATGTTGGCGATGTGTGAGTGTGTGTGGGTTTTTGGTTGAAAACTATTTTTTGTTAATTTTTTTTTGAGTTGTTGTTGTTTAATTTCTGTTGTTATTGTTAATTAATTGTTAAGCACATTTTCTTGTAATTTTTATGGCACTGAGTTCAATATTTGTTTCTTTTTCTTTTTTTGAATTTTTTCCTTCACCAATTTTCTTTTCTTTCTTTTTGTTGTTGTGGTTTTTTGTACAAGGGCTTTTTCACCTTGCCTTTAGCTTTAAAGCTTTAATAATAACTATAATTGTCTTAATTGCAGGAATCAATTTTCTACTACTGGTCACTTGGTGTCTTCGAAGGCTGCTGTTGCCTTTTTGGTTCTTGCCAATGACGACGATGGCGATGATGATGATGTTGCTGTTGTTGATAATAATTCCCAATAATGTGGCAACAGTGGCCAGTGGCATAGAATTATATTTTTTGTGTGATAAACTTCTTGGTGTTTTTTTTTTTTCTTCTTCTTTGCCTTAAAGAGGAAACGAACGAACGAATGAACAACTTTGTTCCACGATGACGATACGTCCACCGGTAATTATCGATGCCGACTGAATGCTTAAACGCAGCGAGAGAGCTGACTAACGTCCATACGAATTTGTTAAACACACAGACAGAAGAAAATTTGATGTTTTTTTTTTTGATTTCGTGTATTTCCACTCTTCTTCTTTGTAATATTCCAATACTCTTGTTTGCTTTGGTCTCTCAGAGGAGGAGTGGTGGAGTGGAGTGTGAAGTGTTGTGTCTGTGTAGAAGGCAGAGCAGAGAGTGTGAGGTTTTGAGACGAGAGCTGCGCATTTTATAATAATAACCCTCGCCAGACAGCACACACCATTTAATCACCCGGCAGATGAAAAGAGAGCGCCGGAGAGAGACACACAGCAGTCGTTTGTCTCTTTCTAACCTGGCCGCAGGATATAAGCACGCGTTGGCAACGGCACTCTCATCGCACAGAGCACACACATAGCTAGGCTCATTGAGCATGCACAAGTAGATGGGAAGGTAGGTAGGTAGGTAGTTAGCTGTGGTGTTAGGCTGGCTGACTGGCTGTTGTTGGTTGGTTCGTCCATCCATCCATCCGTTGTTAGAGAGGCATTTGAGGGGAAGTAAACAATGACAAATGTAAATCCCAACAACAAGCATTTTTAATCTCTCATAAAGGAATTTATTACCATCGATGTTGTTGTTGCCCATGTATATCACTGTAATAAACAAATTCGATGTTTTCTCTTTCTAACGTTCAGCGGTTGTCTTGCTTTCTCTCTCTCTCTCTCTCTGCGTAAATGTTTTGTGCGTTCCTTTTTTATTTTGGCACACCAAAAAAAAAATTGCTCACGCACACTCATTGTTTTTTCTTTTGATTTTTGGTTGCAACAAAGGACATTCTTCTGTTTCTCTCAATAGAAAATACCAATTCTGTGAGGATTTGTTTTTTGTCGTCTCACATTCATTGACTTAAATTAAGAAACCCCTAAAATTTAAAGGGGTTTTCTGTTTAAGTTTCTCTCCTCCTCGTTATGATATTTTTTCTCTATGTTTTTGTGTTAAAACACTTATTTGAGGGTAACACCCTCCCCACCTCCCTTCATTAGAATTGAATTGAAGAAATTCTATTAAAAAAATTATTTAAAATTTGAACAGAATAGTTGGGTATTAAAGCTAAACTAGTTCTATGGAAAATTTAGATTAGTTTTTAAAGCAGAGGACACTTAAGTTTAAAAATAGTATAACCTTAAATTTGTAGGGGCGTTTTCTTTTTCGTTGAAACTCCAAAATGTGGCTATACAATACTATTGTTATTTTTGTATATATTTCTTTGATCCATGGAAAGAGGAAGTTCTCTTTAAAACATTTTAGCAACATAACCTTAAATATGGGCCTTTTTTAAATCCTCAGATTTGACTGTTCGTAATTTTATAGGTATATTTATAAAAATGTCAACATAGCTCCCTTTTTTGACATAGGTATTCTACATTTATACCGATCGATTTTAGTTATTGTGAAATTCCTAACATGCCAGTGAAGCCGACCATTTTTTTTATTTCATTGTTTTACATTTTTAAGGTCCTTAGATTATATAAACCCTTATTGGTAGCATATTTTGTCGGTATGTTGGTGGTTTCGGACCACACATTGACAGTTATTTCAAAATAGAAATGTCATCCCGCTTCATGATCCAATATCTTTAAAGTGGTTCGAAGGTCCTACTCATATTTTCTTGAGCTGTTTTGAAATTCAGTCTACAAAGTTTTTATAATCGAATATTTACGTGAGTTCAATATGGTGATATCGACCAGTATAAGGTATACATAAAAGTGACCTCCATTCTAAGGAGGGTATATTAAATTTGTCATTCCGTTTGTAACTCCTCGAAATATTCATAATAGACCCTACAAAGTACATATGTTCTGGATCAGCGTAAAATTCTAAGGCGATCTAGCGATGTCCGTCAGTCTGTCTGTCTGTATACGTAGTTTACCAGTAGGCAGGTTGAGTTCGTAAATGGGCCAAGTCGGTCCACGTTTTCGTATAGCCCCCATATAACATTACCTCCTGATATTCGGAATTTTCATGATTTGAGCGACATTATTTACCGGAATTATTTAAAATTTCTTAATGGGTACTACTGCCTATGACAAACATTTTTGTATGCAGGTCCAAGTCTTCGTATAGTCTCCATATGACGGTATATCCCGATATTCCGTATTTTCATGATTTCTGCGACATTATTCACCGTAATTGTAACAAACTTCGTATTTGAAGTTCGTAATAGGCACTACAGCTTATGACAAACATTTTCGTATGCAGGTCCACGTCTTCTTATAGTCCCCATATAACGGCTTTCATTTAAGTGATAGTTTTCGGATTATTTTTTTTTCTTTTGAAATTTTTCAATTTCCTTCGAAATAGTGGAGGGATATTTAAAGGTCGGCCGGCCGAACTTAGATGCTTTTTTACATGTTAATATTTACTCCAATGAACAATTTCAGATTGCAAATGCTATACGTTCAGCCAGTTCCAAATTTAGTTTCATTTAGTAGTTTTCGTGTGTTTGTTACAAGCATTTCCAAAACCACCTCCTTATTCAAGCCAGCTCTATCCGTTCACCCACTGTTCCCACATTTAATGCATATTTCGAAAACAACCTTTTGGAATTAGTACCCTTATAGTTTAAATTCCAAAAAAAAAGAAAATCCGACTTTTAAAATTCTAGTTCCATTCCAATACATTTGATTAAATGTATAGTACATTTTAGTACACTTTTAGTACGAATTTCCAAAAACCCAGCCTTATCACACCCCTGAACACCAAGTTTGACCCAAATGCAAAGATTTCAAGATTTCATCAGTCAGTCACTTACTCACAAAAATATTTTCAAAATACATGTTTCGAAATGAATACAATAAAATGGCTATAACTCATAAATCAATACACATTCAGTGTGTTTTAATGCATATAAACCTTGGTATCGACTTATTTCTTCATATAAAGTTTGCAGATACAAAATCGGTTTACGCATTTCAGAGAACATCAATGACTAACGCAATGCAAATTATTTTTAAATATCTCTTTAGAAAATAGAGGGCGTGTAAAACTTGTCTTTCAAAAAGAGTTTAAATTGAATTACAGCGAACATTAAAAAATAATTAGCGAATCGGTGAAACCGTCTTCCAATTTTAGATAAATCGCAAATAGAGGGCGTGGTCAACAAGTTGGGGTATGACAAACATTTGCAAAAGGAATTATCCAAATCAATTCAGCCATTCTTATCTGATGCAATTAGCAACAAACGACATTTGATTTTCATACCTTACACCAGATAGTGATAGGCAAAGGGAAACGATGATGATCTGCATAGAATCACATTCTGAGTCATGTCCGTCCGTATGTCCATGTATTTTTGTAAACAAAGTACAGGCCGCATTTATTTCCCGATGAAATATTGCACAAATCATTTGTTTGACCCAAGGACGAACCCTATAGAAATTGGAGATATTCGGTCAAAATTTAGATTTAGCTCCCATATATATCTTCGTCCGATTTGCCTTTTATTGTGCACCAAACGTGTAATATCAGCCCAAATTGTATAGAATTTTGCACATACGACCAAATTAGGCCTAAAAATAAGGATGCCAAATTTGATCGAAGTCGGTTCAGATGTAGCTATAGCTCCCATACATATTGTTCATCCGATTTATTGAATTTGCCCCGCACAGCCGTAATATGGACTCGTAGTAACGATATTCGGGGAAATATATGAAATACAGCTCAGAAATACCTTTGTTAAGTTTTATGGATATCGGTTCAGATTTGGATATAGCTCCCACATATATCTTCGTCCGATGTGCCTTTCATTGTGCACCAAACGCATAATATTAACTAAAATAGGATGGAATTTTGGCACTTACGACAAAATTGAATCTAGAAACAATTATTTTACAGTTGGTGAAAATCGGTTCAGATATAATTATAGCTCCCATATATATTGTTCATCCGATTTGTTGAATTTGCCCCACACAGCCGTAATATGGACCTTGTAGTAACGATATTCGGGGAAATATATCAAATACAGCTCAGAAATACCTTTGCTAAATTTTATCGAGATCGGTTCAGATTTATATCTTTATCCGATTTCAAGTTAATTGTGCACCAAATGAGTCCGAATTGAAAAGGCACAAATGCCTCGGCAAATTTAGTAGAAATCGATTTAGAGGAGGATATTCCACTGATATATTAGTTCCTTTGATATGATTTAATTCTCACAATTTCCTCACAAAAACTTTTATTTGTTATTTGAAGATCTACTAAATATGCGCAGCGTTGTAGGGTATTATTATAATGTAGGCCCTTCCAACATACGTTAGCATATTGTACTAAATATACCATAATTTCGACCACTATTTCCAACTGAATATGAGCTGTAATTTGACATTAAAGATCCTCTGAAGGCAGAATTTCTCTCTACGAAATAGACTCAATATAGGTCCACCTTCAACCAGCTTATTTGTAATATGAAGTTCCAGGATCTAAGAGCACATATGTCTAAGTCACGGAGAACAGTCAGTCAGTGCGGGTTCATTATTTTCAATTTTTGTTCCAATTTTAGGATATCAAGGAAAAGCTGAGA